TAAACCCTAAACCCTAAGCACGAAGCCCTAAACCCTAAACCCTAAACCCTAAACCCTGAACCCTACACCCCAAACCATACAATCGCCTTGAACCCCGAAGCCGCTTGAGCGCCCGAAGACTTCCCTGGAGGACGGCGCAATTCCCGTCCACGTGGGCTTGCGAGCCCGGGGACCTGGAGCCCAAGATTCAAGATTTAGGGTTTAGGGTTTAGGGCTGAGAGGGTTTATATCGTTTCTAGGGTTGTTTACGGTTTATAGGGTTTATAGAGTTTAGGGCTTATGGGGTTTGGGGTTTAGGGTTGTAGGGTTTCTAGGGTTTAGGGTTTAGGGCTTTTAGGGTTTGGGGTTTAGGGCTTATAGGGTTTTTAGGGTTTATAGGGTTTATGGGGTTTATAGGGTTTAGGGTTTATGGGGTTTATAGGGTTTATAGGGCTTTTAGGGTTTTTAGGGTTTAGGGTTTATGTAAGGGTTTATAGGGTTTGTAAGGTTTGTAGGGTTTATAGGGTTTATAGGGTTTTTTTGGGGTTTGGGGTTTATGTAGGGGTTAGGGTTTAGGGCGTAAGGTTCTTTAGGGTGGCCCCCAGGGCCCAAGATGTTCTCCTCCGCCGGACAGGGGCCCAAGGTTCCTTCCTTGAAGGGTTGCTCGAAGAGTTTTCTCTCCGAAGGCTCCTTCAAGGGCTTCATAGGGCTCTCAGTTTTTTTGGCTTAGGGTTTAGGGTTAAAGGTAGTCAGGATGATAAACCGGCGCTGTGCCGTGAGCTTTGTACGATCTTACAATCTCCAAGGCTCTTCACCCTAAGCCCTGCGCCTCAGAGCGTTTCTGCTGGTTCGTGCTTGTTGCCCGTGTGTGAGAGAGAACTATATCCGAGCAGTCAGTCGTTCCCAATTTTTACTCCTTCCGCGGGTTTATATTTTCAAACCCTGAAGGCACGAGGTCTTCCGGCTAAGGCTTAACAGACTTAACATAGTACATAACGTATAGCATAGATTGTATTAGGTATATATATATATACATATAT